CTTTACACAATTGATGTATGTATGGATTGTGATAAGAGTTGTATGAGCCCCTAATAAAATGATTTAAAAAAAATAATAAAATAAAAAGATAAGGCATCAAAACAAAGAGTACCCCTATGTTCAATATGCTCAAAAAGGCAAATCGAACACAATTAGGGGTCTCAACTCGCCAGAAAGAAGATAACCAAAAACTCGAGGAAGACAAGTCTGCAAGAGCCACAATCTCACATGTCCAGAGACCAGAGGGTTCTCCATGACCCCCAGGAAACACTGTGGCCGGGGCCACAGTATATGGTTCAAGGTTGAGTGGGAGAAAAATATAAAGCAAACTCAAATTTTTTCATTAAAAATAAAGCCAGACAAATGAGAAGATGCAGAACAGAAGACTGTCAGAGACTGTCACTCTGAGACGTGATTTAAATGTAGATCAGGGCTTTTCCCTAAGACCCCCTGTTACCCACATAGTAAAGTGGCACACAAAATAGAACCTGGCCCTACTAAAAAATGATCAATAGGAGACCAAAATGTCACCGTTTTCTCAAAAGTCAAAATGAGAAGATACGGGGGAGGGAAACTAGAGATCTAGAAACGGAACAAACTGAACCCCATCGAAGAGGTTTGCACACCGTGATGCATGTCCCTAATGTCCCTGGAGAAATCCTCTGAGAATTGTCAACTGAGAACCTAACTGACTGTGTCAACTTTCACCAAAATTCAAATTTGTGAAAGTTCAGTAGACATGGAAGATGGGATTAAAAAGCACCGAATGAGAGGTCTAGACGTAAGCAGTACAGTGGCTCCATGAAAACGCACTGGGTAAGCAGAATAGCAAACTAGACCTCGATGTGGAAAGAGTAGTGAATCAAAGACACCACATAGTGTCTTGCATAACATATAACATGAAGAAGCACTGAGAGAAAAAGAGCCCTAAAATGGAGAGATCATTCGCGAGCTGTGGACTTGCTGGCATCCCCAAAGGAAAGAGGGAAAGTGAAGCAGCTTTGAAGAGGAATCACCCAGAGATTTCCAAATGTGATGGCAACGACAAATGGGTAAAGTGCTAGGAGATCAGAACATGATCCCAAGTTGATAAGTTCAGCCAGTGTGCTGATGGAGTCCCCTGGGTAGCACAAACCAATTCAGTGCATAGCTGCTAACTGAAAGATCTGCGGTTCGAGTCCACTCAGGGGTGTCTCACAGGAAAGGATTGTGGAGCTATTAAAAAAAAGGAAAGAAACCCAGTCCCTGAAAACCCTGTGGAGCACACACATTCACACACACACACACACACACACACACACACACACACACACACACAGCCACCACAAGGCAGAGTCAACTCGACCTCAACCGGTTTCCTGGTTTAACATGGCTTAACAGGATGGCGGCTCTCTCCCAGCCACGGAGGCTGAC